TATCAGACTCTGGATCTGGAATGGAAGAAAACACTTGGGCATGTATTTAAAACTTATTTAAAACTTGGGAAAGAGCAGTCACATAATTAACCATAGTATCTGATTGCAGTTGGAGTTGTTGAGGAAAGTAACAACCTAACCTAGGGGCTGAACCGAACAAAATCTCATAAGGAGACAGGTTAAACTTTCCTCTTGGTGTGTACCTAACACTAAACAGAGCTATGGGGAGACTCTCTGGCCAGGGCAGGTTATTTTCTTGGGCCATCTTAAGCATTCTGGCTTTTAAGGTGCCATTCATGCGTTCTACCTTACCACTACTTTGTGGGTGATAGGGTGTGTGGAATGCAAGGGTCACCCCGAGTGCTGCCCAGACTTCCTTAGTCACTAGTGCTGTAAAAGCCGGGCCCTGGTCACTTTCAATCACTTCAGGAACTCCATATCTACAGACAATTTCAGTGAGCAACCGCTTGGCAGTGGTCTTGGCGGTCATATTAGTGACCGGGAAAGCTTCTGGCCATCCTGAGAACATGTCCACCATAACTAGGGCATATTCATACCGGCCACTCTTTGGCATCTGAATGTGGTCAATTTGGACTCTCTGGAATGGGTAGTGTGGCTTCGCCAGGTGTTTGGGGAACACTTTCTCCAATTTTCCCGGATTGCACTTGGCACAGATAGCACAAGACTTACAGTAGGTTTTAGTCAGAGTGGTAATACCTGGTGCTTCGAAATATTTAGCAATTAAAGAGTTCATGAGTGTCTTAGACAAGTGCGCTGCTCCGTGGGCCCACTGAACCACAGCCGCATACATACATTTAGGTAGACAAAATTTGAGATTGCTAGTATATACTCCATCCTGCAAGGTTGCTCCTTTCTGTATTCCAGCTTTGCTTTTCTTCAGGACTTACAGCTGCTTGCTGTTCTTTCAAAAACTTGAGGTCTGTAGGTAAGGTTTGCATGGGAAAAATAGGAATTTCCTTACCGGACACTCTTCTGTCCACTTCCCTTGATTGACATGCAGCATCTTTGGCGGCTTGGTCAGCTTTATGATTGCCACATGTTTCTTCCGAATTCCGTCTTCCATGGGCTTTTACTTTCAGTATGGCCACTTCTTCAGGAAGGAGTAAAGCATCCATCAATTCCTTGATAGCTGTACCATGTTTAACTGGTGTACCGGTTGCTGTCAGAAAACCTCTTGTTTTCCATATTAATCCAAAATCGTGTGCTACGCCCAGGGCATATCTTGAATCAGTGTAAATATTAACACGTTTCCCTTGAAACATTTGGCATGCTACAGTGAGGGCTTTTAGTTCAGCTTCTTGAGCAGACATAGACGGGGGTAGTGGGGATGCTTGAAGTACCCGATCTACTGTGGTCACTGCAAATCCAGTGTGGTATCTTCCTTGTTCATCCGCAAATCTGGAGCCATCCACAAACAGTGTGCAGTCAGGATCTGGCAAAGCCGTTTCATCTACTGTAGGAAGATGGGCTGTTTCCATCTTCATCTGTTCAAAACAGTCACGGGGAACATCTGGGTCAGGATCTATGGGAGGGGCATCTTCACATATTTCTGTGTGATATTGTGGGTAACCAGTAGTCTTACAATTCACAGTTCGTTTGGTAACACCTTCTGTGGAGAGTTGGTCTTGATCTGTTGCACTCCATGCTTTGGCTAATGGACCAAGTTCAATCCATGAGATATTTGGAGATTTAGTAATAGAGACATGAGGAACTGCCAACTGCCCCTCCCACAACTACAGGCTAAGCCTTCAAATATATGAAAAAATGAACAAATCTCTTGCAGTCATGCTTAAATGTCCCTTGGTTGCCAGGTGCTAGTTTGCCAGGGCTTTAGTATCAATTTGTACAAAGAGGTAGCAGCACTCACAGGGTTAAAAAGTCCAATCTTTATTTCACATTTTTTTAAGACACGATCAACGTTTCAGTCCTGTATATAGGTTCTGCTACTTCTTTGGACAAATATATATATCAAAATACATTTAGAGTTCTAATATATATATATATATATATATATATATATATATATATACAGTGAGGGAAAAAAAGTATTTGATCCCCTGCTGATTTTGAATGTTTGTCCACTGACAAAGAAATGATCAGTCTATAATTTTAATGGTAGGTGTATTTTAACAGTGAGAGACAGAATAACAAAAAGAAAATACAGAAAAACGCATGTCAAAAAACGTATAAATTCATTTGCATTTCAAAGAGTGACATCAACTCAACTCGCAGTGTTTGGAGTAAGAGGAATGATGCCTATGACCCCAAGAACACCATCCCCACCATCAAACATGGAGGTAGAAACATTATGCTTTGGGGCTGTTTTTCTGGTAAAGGGACAGGACAACTGCACTGCATCAAAGGGGCGATGTACTGTCAAATCTTGGGTGAGAACCTCCTTTCCTCATCCAGGGCATTGAAAATGGGTCGTGGATGGGTATTCGAGCATGACAATGACCCAAAACACACAGCCAAGGCAACAAAGGAATAGCTCAAGAAGAAGCACATTAAGGTCCTGGAGTGGCCTAGCCAATCTCCAACATTTAATCCCATAGAAAATCGATGGAGGGATCTGAAGGTTCGAGTTGCCAAACATCAGCCTCGAAGCCTTAATGACTTGGATAGGATCTGCAAAGAGGAGTGGGACAAAATCCCCCCTGAGATGTGTGCAAACCTGGTGGCCAACTACAAGAAACGTCTTACCTCTGTGATTGCAAACAAGGGTTTTGCCATTAAGTACTAAGTCAAAGGGGTCAAATACTTATTTCACTCATTGACATGCAAATCAATTTATAACTTTTTTGACATGCATTTTTCTGGATTTTCTTTTTGTTTTTCTATCTCTCACTGTTAAAATAAACCTACCGTTAAAATTATAGACTGATAATTTCTTTGTCAGTGGACAAACATTCAGAATCAGCAGGGGATCCAATACTTATTTCCCTCACTGTATATACATACACACATATATATATCTCGACCGCGGACATATCAGGTACATCCGACAAAAAATGGTATCAGGTACGTCCACGGGGAATTAGGGCCCTGGAAGCGATCATGATTGCTTCCAGCATCTGTAATGGTATTGCAGTAATGTCTCGATGTTGAAGCATCGCTGCAATACCCCCCACATTGCCGGTGGCCCCCGGAGAACACTGGGTTATCGCACTCCCCGGAGCGATCACTTCCGGGTTGCTGCACGTGGAGCCCGAAAGTGAGGCTGAGCGTCGGAAGCCATCAGACAGGCTTCCAATGCTCTGCCTGTACTGAGGGCCTTGAGGGGTCGAGGCACTCAGTAATAATAAAAAATAAAAAGTAAAAAAAAAATAATTAAGTAAATTAAAAAAAATAAATGAACCATCTACCCTCCCTCTCCCTCCCCATGTAATTACCGATCTACGCTGTTGCCCCGCCGGCAATCAGTGTTATTCTTAGGGGAGCCCAGACAGTCTCCCCTCTCCAATTTAGCACCCCCATGGGCCATGTGACTGCTCTAAAGAGCGGTCACATGGCCGCCATAGGTGTCCACTGTGCTTCCAGCAAGGGGACTGCCTGAACTGAAAAAGTAAAAATAAAGTTTTCAGAAGGTTTAAAAAAATAAAAATATAGTTAATAAATAAAAAAAAAATATATATATATATTGGAAGGCATGGCCTGAAGTTGTGGGAAGGGCTATAGACCTATAAAAGGGACTCCCCCCTTTCCCTACTTACCTTTGTTGGTCAGACGAATAGACTGTTCAAGGTCAGCATTTGCATGAGATCCACTTCCAGGTCATACAAGACGCCATTTTGGTTTCACCTTTGCTCCATGAGGTCTCCTACTCCAAGCTGTGTCCAGGAATCCTGCAGCAGGGATTTCCGTTAATCCAGTGGCTTTCTCTCCAGTCAGCATTGCATTTGGTTTCTCAGGGACTCTCAAACCGTAAGTTGACCCACCTGTCGCACCAGGATTAGTTCCCACGCCGTTCAGCACAGCACGGGTCCTCATTTTACAGTTTCCTTTTGTTTTGCACGGTTATTTCGTTACCTTGTACTCACCTAGCTGTTCATGTAAAATCTGTTTTGGTTAAAATCTGTTGGGTTAAAACTACAAACGAAATACAATTTTTCGCCTACACACTGACCCCTATCGGTCATTCGGTGTACTACAGGCATCTCAGACATTATTACATTTCATGTACAAACCAACGAACCACTGCATTTTCACCTACACACTGACCCCTATCGGTCATTCGGTGTACTACAGGCTTCTTAGACGTTTTTGCATTTCATGTACAAACCAACGAACCACTGCATTTGTGCCTACACACTGACCCCTACCGGTCATTCGGTGTACTACAGGCTTCTCAGACATTATTGCATTTCATGTACAAACCAACGAACCACAGCATTTTCGTCTACATGCTGACCCCTGCCGGTCAAGCAGTATACTACAGGCTTCTCAGACTTCATTTTACTTCATAGGCAAACAAACTAACTACAGCATTTTCGCTTTTACACTGACTCCGATCTGTTAAACGGTATACTACAGGCTTTTCCGATATATGGTTATTCCCCTCATAACATCCCCACTATAATTATAATTACACAATAACACTTCCTTACAAATCATGCTTGCTATGATATAATCATTCCTGCATACCTGCCTACATAGGCAGTTAGTTACATTTACTGACAATACGCATACATTTACCCAAGAATGCACATACTATTTAAAGCACTATGCAGGATTCCAGAGTCTAATACGGAATATTTGCATGTTTGCACGCTTAAAATATAAGTCCTTCCGGGGGCGGATCCTGACTGGCTTCCTGAGTAGATGCACGATTGCTGAGATCCTGCAGCCAAAACTGAGAAATCGCCCAAAACTCGTTGTTAAAAGCTCGCACCTACACGAGCTTGCCATACCTGAGCTCAGAGTGCCTCACTGAATCCCTGGATGCTTCCAGTTTGAGAATCGGTGCACAGCAACCCAAGATGTTTAACCACGGCCTGCAGGCACCCCGTCCTCTCTCTGGTGGCCCGGGAGACATGACACTCTCCTCCAGTGGCCCGGGAGACATGACACTCTCCCCCAGCCGACAGCCCGCAACAACTGGGCAAACTACAATGGCGGACGCCACGTGGATAACAAGCCACGGCACAGAGGAGCCTGATATCCTGAAGCGGCTAGAGCTCACCTTTGCAGCCTTTTGGGTAAAACTAGCCGACAAACTGGAACAGGTACAGCCCTGCAAGCCAAAAGTCACCTTGCCCGACGTACCATCACCCAGCTCCCGCCAGCGACAAGTCACCCCCAAGTGGAAGAGTGTTGGAAAACGGCGCCGGAGACAACGACGCTTGCAACCCTGCTTGCACTCACAGAGCAAGGGGTGGGAACCCTTCTGAGAGACCGCCGCGACATCGGTGGGGATACAACAGAAGGCACAACACCAAGAAGGCACCAGGTGGCACCCCTCCACTGACAGCTCCCACCTGCAGACCCACTGTGAGCTGGGAAAGCCTGCTGCAAGCAACATGGATGCGGGACACTGTACATCCACAGACAGGCATCGGGTAAAGAGTCTAAACTGTACAAAATCTAAGGCCACCCACTATAACTACGGACTATGGCATATACTCACACAAAAACGAACACTATCCTGTCGCTCATTCCTTGTTGTTTCTCCCTGTGTAATCAGGGCCGGTGCAAGGATTTTTGGGTACATAGGCGAAGATGTATCTTTCCACCCCCCCCCAAAATAACATCTTCACCTATGTGCCTCTTAACCAGCCCCTCTCCCCGTCCATTAGTGGTCCCCTCCCTTCCCTGTCCCTTAGTGTTCTTCTAAGCTCTCCCCTCTTTTTCCTGTCCCTTGGTGTTTCTCTCCCCTCCCCTCCCTGTCCCTTGGTGCACCCCCCACCCCCTTAGTGGTCGCACTCCCCTTCCTGGTGTGCCTCCTACCTCTCTTGTAGCGTTGCCGAGTGGAGGATATCCCCTACAGGAGCTTCAATTTTCTGTACCTGGCCGGACTGACAGGGAGTGCTCTCTCAGTGAGCACCTCCGGTCAGTCTGGCCGGGTACAGGAAATAGAAGCTCCTGTACTGCGCCCCGCCACGCTACACTCAGTGGTGTATACACACTGACAGTCACACACACTCAATGACAAACACACAGACTCACTGATCTGACAGACACTCACAAACACACACTGACAGACACGCATACACTGCCACACTCATACACTCACATGCAGTACTCATACAAGCACTCACAGACACACACACACACTCATACAATCACTCACAAACACACACTGACAGACACACATACACTGCCACACTCATACACTCACATGCAGTACTCATACAAGCACTCACAGACACACACACACACACTCATACAATCACTCACAGACACACTCACTCACAGACACACATACTCATGTACACACTCAGTCACTCACAGGCACACAGTCACTCAGGCATACATACACTCACACACAGACACACATACACACACAGTCACACACAGACACTCACAGACAGACACACACTCACTCACAGACACGCATACACACACTCACTAATTATTTTAATAAATACACATTTTCCACCCAGCCTCCCTACCTGGAGAGCTGGTGTGGATGATGAATCATTCCCTGGGGTCCAGTGGGGCTGCTGGGAGGCGTGCGGCAGTGCTGTGATGATCAGACGCGGCGAGGGAGCTCTAATCTCCACGCTCTGCTCCCTCGCGGCTGCCTTCTGATACCGTGGGAGCCGGAATATGATGTCATATTCCGGCTCCCGCGGCATCAGCAGACAGCGCGCGAGGGAGCAGAGAGGTCTGATCACAGCACTGCCGCACGCCGCGCCGGGGATCCAGAAGGTGGCCTGGCAGGAGGGAGAGCTTCCCTCCTGCCGGTCACTGAAATATTGCGCCCCCGAAAACAGTGCGCCCTAAGGCTGCCGCCTGTTCCGCCTTATGGACGCGCCGGCCCTGTGTGTAATAAATCTGTAGTCTCATTAGGGTATGTGAACACATCTCTCAAATGACAACCAAAGTACCCACAATTGCATACTACCTATCTCCTAGTACTACTAATACTGCTTAACATGCTTAAAAATACAGCCTTACCAACATATATGCTCCATCTATGCCTATTATGCTCTAGCTAATATATTAACGTACTGGCAGAACACATAGAGACCTATGGCCTGGGACTTAATCCCTTATAACTTCAAAGTACTAAACAGAGTGCTAATCATTATTTTATGCAGGTCACATCTAATACCTCTCTTCTTTGTGAAACGTTAAATGCTAAAAATTGTCGAGACCTGCAGCAAACGTGTTATAACAGCCTGTCTATCTTTATATTTTAAAAATTGTGCCGAGACCAAACTGTCATACAAATGTACAACTGTGTCAAAACTATGTTTGCACATGCTGTCGTGGCAGTGTAAGATGTATTGTTATTACTTGCACAACGAAAAATAAAGAATTTAAAAAAAATATATATATATAAGTCCTTACAATTATGTATTTTCACATATTAGGTTATTCAGCTGCCAGTCATGGTTCACTACACTCATGTTTCGGGGTACAGTTGTATTCCATATATCACACATGATATAACACTCCCGACAAGTTAATTTCCTTCAAACAGGGGCATTACAAGCATACAATAAACATTGGGACAGAGCACTTTGCTCTATTAAACTTGCATAACACACATATGGGTATACGCTTTTAAATGTCTATATTCAATTTTCATACATTGTTTTACCCGTCCGGGATACAGGTATTAATAACCCTTACGACAAGTAAGGGTATCTAATCATACTACCAGGTACATACACCTGCTCATGTGGTGTATATACATACATTTTCTGGCCAACACCCCGCCTCAATGCTCAGAGGCAAACACCCATCGGGCCACTTGTGAGCTAGCCGCCTCGCATGGTATATAGAGAGGGCCTCACCTGTCACTCCATTTCCCTTTTTTATGGTTACAGTCACCGAGAGGCCAACATCCTGCCACTACATTTGGTGGCCACAAAAATCCCCTTGCGCCATTGCATATATAGAGCCTCTCAAGCCACTTGGCAACTAGCAGGGCCTCATCTGTCACCAAACAAAGGATTGTTTCACCTTTAGCTAGCAAGCCAGTACTAGCACACTGTGGGTTCATATAGTAATGGCTATCTTCATGTTTTTTAGTATGTATCAAGCAGGTGGTAAGGATTTCTCTCTACCTAACACTCCAGCTAGAGTCAACACACTTTCACTTAGAGATGTTGCTAGTCCCACAGGACAATTTTGTCCCAACACAGCGGACGATCACGTTTCAGGCTCCAGGCTCTAGCACCTCTGGTAGTACATAGAGAACTACCAGAGACAAATTGGATCGTCTCATTCTCTTTGGCAAATCCCAGATTTGCAACAATTTCCATGTTGGCACATGTAGTTTCAGTGCATGAAGACTGTTGCAGATATGTTCTCAATATGTCAGGGCACATGCAAAAACCATGTGTCCCAGTAAATGTACCCTGAACCTTACTTCACGTCTGTAAACATTATGCATTTCCAGTACTTTCTAACTCATCACCCTTCCAGACATTTAGTTTGTTTCCTAATCTCCGATTTTAAAGGCCTTCTGTTCAGGTATTGCCATATACTTTTGGGGGAATCTAGAATGCCCTAACTTGCAGTCATCACAGCAGCATCCAACAGCTGGCATTACAGTCATGGCCCAAGAAATGGCAGAAAGATTTCTACCTGGGCCTCTCCGATCTACACCATTTACAGTGTGGCGCAATCCCATTGGGATTGTCACAGGGAATCTTCCCTCACACTGTAACTGATCATAGACTTATCTGCACCTCACGCCTCGGCTACCCCATAGTCTCAACTCCCTCATACCCTCCGAGGAGTTTTCATTACAGTATGCCACCATTGTTCATACCATTACAACTATCACTCAAGCAGGGGGGGAAGCCTGGTTAAGTAAAACTGATATCACAAACGCATTTCAGACTGCCACCATCCACCCTGCACTGGCACTTACAGGGCATTTATGGGCAGCAGTTATATATTTCTTCTCCCGCTTAACTTTCGGGTCAAGAGCAGCCCACAATCTTCAATATATTCGTTGAACTCTTTACTGGTTGTGGTTAAACATATCCAGATGCCCCACAGTCATACACTCCCGAGATGATTTCTTATTGGTCAAAGGGAATGCCTTTCCCTCTAGAAGCTTCAAGGAAGCCATTACTATGTCTGAACACTTGGGTGTCCCAGTATTCCCTAAGGTCACAGAAGACTATCGTTACATTTCTGGGCATACAACTTGACTCGGCATCCATGCCAACAAGTTACCACGTGAGAAATAGGAACAGTCGCAACAACACCAATTACCACCTGCTGCTTGGTACTTGCAACCACATGGAACTACAATCCCTACCAGGTTCCTTAAATTTTGCCATTCGCATCATACCGCAGGCGGCGCTTTCATCTCAGACCACTTTGCTTTTTCTTCCCTCCCGAATGATGATCAGGGGCTGTCCCTAGACAACCAAGCCATGGCAGACCTACACATATGGTGGACTTTCTTAACCACACGTAATAGTAAACTATTGTGGCAGCTGCCGTGACAGCCGCCATGGCAGGGGGGTCATTTATGGTCATGGATTAGATGAACCTCGCCAACATAGCCAGACTCTGACTAAACTGGCCTTGTCCACCAGCACTCAACACGCTTGCTACAGGGTTTTTCACTTATGCAATACGTTTCATGTCGGACCATCACTTAGCTGGTTTGAGGTTTCACCACGTATGGCCTTCGCCTCTTTTTGCCACCTTAAGTTAATAATTCTCGCACAACACGGTTAAACTTTATCTCACGGACATTCAACACTATACGTATTTTTCCTTCCCTAACAACAAGGGTTCCTATCCTCCTACCCCATCCATACCTTAGAGACATAGCCAAGCGGACGTTCCCGCTAAAACTAAATACTGGCCAAAGACCTACAATGTTCAAACCATGTCAGAACCACTCGACCATGCACTTCCGAGCCACGCACCAATGCAGTTATCAAAACTGCTACCTATCTAGCCTTTAACGGCTTTCTCAGGCCAAAACAATAACTCACTATCAGCGGCCAACATCATAAACAAGAGTAACTGTTGACCTCTTATCTTCTAAAACACACAGACCACTATGTCCGGTCCCTTCCTAAAACTAAGACGAGTCAGATGGGCGAACCAGTGCATATAACCTACTACCTTACAAGCAATGCCTTGTTAAGGTACTGATTACGTTCTTGGGCACGCCACCATACGCACCACTAAACCATTACTGTCGCTGTACGATACTGTCCTTACCACAGGTAAGTTCATGCACTAT